TTGGGGTGGCTTTGGGTGTATTGGGGTATTTAGAGGCATTTCTGAGTGTTTCTGGGGTATTTTTAGGGTGTTTCTTGGTGCTTTGGGGGTGTTTTGGGGTGTACTGGGGTATTTCGGGGGGTTGTTGGTGTGTTAGGCTGTTCCTGGGGTATTTTGGGGGTATTTTGGGCTGTTTCTGGCTGGTTTGGGGGTACTTTTGGGTGTTTTTTGGTGTTCTGGGAGTATTTTGGGGTGGTTTGGGGGTACTTTTGGGTGTTTCCGGGGTATTTTTAGGGTGCTTCTTGGTGCTTTGGGGGTGTTTTGGGTGTATTGGGATGTTTAGGGGTATTTTGGGGTGGTTTTGGGGTACTTTTGGGCATTTCTGGGGTACTTTTAAGGTGTTTCTTGGTGTTTAGGGGGTACTTTGGGGTGGCTTTGGGTGTATTGGGGTATTTTGGGGTGTTTCTGGCTGTTTCTGGGGTATTTTCAGGTGTTTCTGCAGGTGTTTCTTGGTGCTTTGGGGGTACTTTGGCGTGGCTTTGGGTGTATTGGGGTATTTTGGGGTGTTTCTGGCTGTTTCTGGGGTATTTTCGGGTGTTTCTGGGGTATTTTTAGGGTGCTTCTTGGTGCTTTGGGGGTAGTTTGGGCTGTACTGGGGTATTTCGGGGGGTTTGTTGGTGTGTTAGGGTGTTCCTGGGGTATTTTGGGGGTATTTTGGGCTGTTTCTGGCTGGTTTGGGGGTACTTTTGGGTGTTTTTTGGTGTTCTGGGAGTATTTTGGGGTGGTTTGGGGGTACTTTTGGGTGTTTCCGGGGTATTTTTAGGGTGCTTCTTGGTGCTTTGGGGGTGTTTTGGGTGTATTGGGATGTTTAGGGGTATTTTGGGGTGGTTTTGGGGTACTTTTGGGCATTTCTGGGGTACTTTTAAGGTGTTTCTTGGTGTTTAGGGGGTACTTTGGGGTGGCTTTGGGTGTATTGGGGTATTTTGGGGTGTTTCTGGCTGTTTCTGGGGTATTTTGGGGGTATTTTTGGCTGTTTCTGTCTGGTTTGGGGGTACTTTTGGGTGTTTCTTGGTGTTTTGGGGTGTTTTGGGGTGTACTGGGGTATTTCGGGGGGTTTGTTGGTGTGTTAGGCTGTTTCTGGGGTATTTTGGGGGTATTTTTGGCTGTTTCTGTCTGGTTTGGGGGTACTTTTGGGTGTTTCTTGGTGTTTAAGGGGTATTTTGGGGTGGTTTTGGGGTACTTTTGGGTGTTCCTGAGGTACTTTTAGGGAGTTTCTCGGTGCTCTGGGGGTAGTTTGAGGTAGTTTGGGGTGTAGTGGGGTATTTCAGGGGGGCTGTTGGTGTGTTAGGGTGTTTCTGGGGTATTTTGGGGTATTTCTGGCTGTTTTGGGGTGTTTTGGGGGTATTTTGGGGTGTTCCAGGGGTGTTTTGTGGTGTTTCAGGGGTATTTTGGGGTGTTTCGGGCTGTTGTGGGGTGTTTTGGGGTATTTCGGGATGTTTTGGGGTATTTTGGGGTGTTCTGGGGTGTTTTTGAGCTATTTTGGGGTGTTTCGGGGTGTTTTGGGGGTGTTTTTGGGTGTTTCAGGGGTATTTTGGGGTGTTTTGGTGTGTTCTGGGGTGGTTTTGGGTGTTTCAGGGGTGTTTCAGGGGTGTTTTTGGGTGTTTCAGGGGTGTTTTTAGGTGTTTCAGGGGTGGTTTTAGGTGTTTTTGGGTGTTTCTGGGTGTTTCTAGGTGTTTTTGGCGTGTTTTTTTGTGTTTCAGGGGTGTTTTTGGGTGTTTCAGGAGTATTTCTGGGTGTTTTTGGGTGTTTC